CCAGGGCGGGACCTCGGGTTCTTAAGCAGACAGACGTTCTGGGCCGCTGAGCCCAGCTCGGCTGAGGCTTTGCCCTGCGCTGACTGAGCCGCCTTCCTCCAGCCAAGATCGCGGATCGGCGTGGCCATCGGCGACCAGATCCTGGACCTCAGCATCATCAAGCACCTCTTCGCCGGGCCCATCCTCTCCAAGCACCAGGATGTCTTTGTCCAGGTAGGACCGGGCCACGGGGCTGGTCCTCCATCCAGTGGCCCCGCTGAGCTGGAGTCTCAGGCCCGGGGGGAGGGACAGCCGGGCCCAGGGCCCTCCGTGTTGGCCGCCTGCAGTGTACACACCTGTGGGATGTGACTTCACTGCCCTGAAGAAGGTCTGGTGCTTTTTTATTTTTATTTTTTATTTTTATTTATTTATTTTTTAAATATATTTTATTGATTTTTCACAGAGAGGAAGAGAGAGGGAGAGAGAGTTAGAAACAACGATGAGAGAGAATCATCGATCAGCTGCCTTTTGCACACCCCCCACTGGGTATGTGCCCGCAACCAAGGTACATGCCTTTGCCCGGAATCGAACCCGGGACCTTACAGTCTGCAGGCTGACGCTCTATCCACTGAGCCAAACTGGTCCTGGCCGGGTGCTTTTTAAAAAAAATATATATGGACTGGCCAGATTATGATGGTCTCTGAACTCATAATAATCCGGCCACTCAGAGCATGTGTGTGTGTGTGTGTGTGTGTGTGTGTGTGTGTGTGTGTGTGTTAGAGGCCCGGTGCATGCATTCGTGCATGGTTGGGGTCCGGCCAGCCTGGCCAGGGGGAGGGGACATGGGCAGTTGGCCGGCCTGCCTGCTGGTCGAACTCCTGGTCGAGAGGACAATTTGCATATGAGCCTTTTATTCTATAGGATATACAATGAGTGGCCAGATTATTATGCATTCTGAGATCATCATCATCTGATGACTCAGTGTATATATATATATTTTTTTTTTTCCAATATATTTTACTGATTTTTTACAGAGAGGAAGAGAGAGGGATAGAGAGTTAGAAACATCGATGAGAGAGAATCATCGATCAGCTGCCTCTTGCACACTCCCTACTGGGGATGTGTCCGCAACCAAGGTACATGCCCTTGACCGGAATCGAACCCGGGACCCTTCAATCTGCAGACCGACGCTCTATCCACTGAGCCACTCGGACGATGGCAGTGGCTGACAAACTGTGGCTCTGTTGACTAATGAGTTTGCCGACCACTGGGATAGGGGTTTAATCACAAGGAACAACAGCCTGTAATTATTGGAATCAAGAGTGTAGGTCAGCTGAAACCGGTGTTGCTCAGTGGATAGAGCGTCGGCCTGTGGACTGAAAGGTCCCAAGTTTGATTCCGGTCAAGGGCGTGTACCTTGGTTGAGGACACATCCCCAATGTGGGGTGTGCAGGAGGCAGCTGATCGATGATTCTCTCTCATCGATATTTCTCTCTATCCCTCTCTCTCTTCCTCTCTGTAAAAAAATCAATAAAATATTTATATATATATAAAAAAAGAGTCTAGGTCAGTGGTCGGCAAACTCATTAGTCAACAGAGCGTCATACCATGGCTCATGAACTGCAATTTGCTGACCACTGGACTATGGCTTTAATATACTGTGTGTGTGTGTGTGTGTGTGTGTATGTGTGTGTGTATTAAATTATTGATTTCAGAGAGGATGGGAGAGGGGGAGAGAGAGATAGAACCACGGATCGGCTGCCTCTTGCACACCCCCTACTATGGATCGAGCCACAACCCCGGGCCTGTGCCCTGGCTGGGCATCGAACCGTGACCTCCAGGTTCATAGGTCAAAGCTCAACCACTGAGCCACACCGGCACAGCGGGCAGGAAATCTTCTCTTGCCTTCCATGAAGAGATGGGCATAGACTGTGATGACCCGCAGACTGGAGTGTCCGGTGGAGCCATTGAGCCACCCCCTCCGAGGGCCAGGCCCAGCGGCACCAGCGGCGTCCAGACAGCAGCTTCCGGCTCTGTCCGCCGTGCGGGCAAGTCCTTGAGGGGCCGAGTCCCATTGGGGGCGCTGACCCCGTCCCCCACTTTTTTCTCTTTTTTTTTAATATGTTTTATTGAGTTTTTACAGAGAAGAAGGGAGAAGGAGAGTCAGAAACATCGATGAGAGAGAATCATGGATCAGCTGCCTCCTGCACACCCCCCACTGGGGATGTGCCCGCAACCAAGGTACATGCCCTTGATCGGAATCGAACCTGCGACCCTTCAGTCCTCAGGCCGATGCTCTATCCACTGAGCAACACCGGTCAGGGCTCGTCCCCGACCTTGATGCTAAGGCGACAGAGCTGAGAGCGGGCGTCCAGGAGAGGCGTGACAGGGCCCCGGCAGGCAGGCCGGCCTCTCCTGTGGGCGGAGGGGCAGCGCCCAGCACTGCCCCATGCGTGACCCACTCTCTCTCTCTCCCCCCGCTGCAGCCCACGCTCAACAACTTCATGGCCCTGGGCCAGGGCGCCTGGAAGGAGGCCCGCGCCAACCTGCAGACCCTGCTGTCCGCGAGCCACGCCCGTCTGCGGGACGACGCGGAGCTGCGGAAGCGGTGAGGAGCGAGCCCGTCGGGGCGGGAGGGAGGGTGACGAGGACATGACATGACAGCTGGGATCATCCAAAGACCCAGAGGCTGCATGTCTGTGGCAGGGCCCTGGGGGAGAGGGGTGAGGTGGATGGAATCACCCCTGTGCCACTGGCCCTCCCCCTGCCTCATCGCCATCATCCAGTCCTTTACAAAAAAAAAAAGGTTTGGCCCTGGCCAGTGTGGCTCAGTGGGTAGAGCGTCAGCCTGCGGACTGAAGGGTTTGACTCCGGTCAAGGGCATGTACTTTGATTGCGGGCACATCCCCCGTGGGGGGCGTGCAGGAGGCGGCTGATGGATGTTTCTCTCTCATCGATGTTTCTAGCTCTCTGTCCCTCTCCCTTCCTCTCTGTGAACAATCAATAAAATGTACATTTTTAAAATGTTTTTTTAAAAATACATTTGTGGGTTTTAAAAATATATATATTTTTATTGATTTCAGAGAGGAAGGAAGAGGGAGAGAGAAAGACACACATCCATGATGAGAGAGAACCATGGATCGATCAGCTGCCTCCTGCACGCTCCACACTGGGGACGGAAACCGCAACCCGGGCATGTGTCCTGACTGGGAATTGAACCCGGGACCTTTCAGTTCACAGGCCAATGCTCTATCCACTGAGCCACACTGGCTAGGGCTAAGTTGTTTTGTTTTTTTTAAAATAATTTGTTATTGATTTCAGAGAGAAAAAGGGAGAGGGAGAGAGGGATAGAAACATCAATGATGAAAAAGTGGGGGGAAAAAGTAAAAAATAAAAGAAACGAACCAAAAAAATAAACATCGATGATGAGAGAGAACCATGGATCGGCTGCCTCCTGCACGCCCCCCACTGGGGATCAAGCCCGCCACCCGGGCCTGTGCCCTGACCGGGAATCGAACCCGGACCTCCAAGTTCACAGGTCGACGCTCACCACTGAGCCGCACTGGCCGGGCCATCCGTGTCTGTCCGGTTCCCAGAGTCGAGAGGTTTAGCTCGATTCCTAGAATGGGACCTGGAGCCAGACGGGAGGCATGCCAGCTTCAGTGCGCGGACCCTCGCCGGTCACGGGGCATCGGGCACAGGGCTCTGGGACGGGCTGGGCCGAGCCTTCCGGTGGTCACCCGAGCGGGCACGTCGCCTCACCACCCGCTTGACCCCGAAATCCCTGCTCTATTTCAGTGCGTTCATCCCCCAGGCTCAAGCCACCATGCACCTGCCCGCGGTCATAGGTGAGTCCGTGCCCAGGGCGGCCTCCTGGGCCAGCACGGCGGTCCCGGCCTCCTGGTGGGGGCGGCTCCGGGGCCGGGACCCCCTCCCCCATCCCTGACTCGGGCCGTGTGGAGGGAGGGATCCATCCCTTGTGTGTGATTTGTTTCTCGGTAGGGAGTTCTGACGTAATGTTTTATTTTTTTATTATTTAAATATACTTTTATTGATTGTATTTTTTTAAATGTTTAATATATTTTTATTTATTTATTTATTTTTTATTGATTTTTCACCCAGAGGAAGAGAGAGAGAGAGTTAGAAACACCGATGAGAGAGAAATATCCATCAGCTGCCTCTTGCACACCCGCTACTGGGGATGTGCCCGCAGCCAAAGGTACATGCCCTTGACCGGAGTCGAACCCAGGACCTTTCAGTCCGCAGGCCGACGCTCTATCCACTGAGCCAAACGGGTCCCGGCTTATTGATTGTATTTTTTAAATATATATTTGTATTGATCTTAGAGAGGAAGGGAGAGGGAGAAGGAGAGAGAAATAGAACCATCCATGAGGAGAGAGAATCACGGATTGGCTGCCCCCTGCACGCCCCACCCTGGGGATCGAACCCGCAACCTGGGTCTGTGCCCCATCCCGGAATTGAACCCTGACCTACTGGTTCTTAAGTCGGTGCTTAACTACTGACCATGCCGGCAAGGGTATTAGTTATTTATTTTATTTTTTAATTATTATTATTTTCTAAATATATTTTATTGTTTTTTTTACAGAGAGGAAGAGAGAGGGAACAGAGAGCTAGAACCACTGATGAGAGAGAAACATCGACCAGCTGCCTCCTGCACGCCCCCCACTGGGGATGTGCCCGCCACCAATGTAGTACATGCCCTTGACCGGAATCGAACCTGGGACCTTTCAGTCCGCAGACCGACGCTCTAACCACTGAGCCAAACCGGCCTTGGCTGTTATTTATTTTTTGATATATTTTTTTTTATTTCAGAGAGGGAGAGAGAGAAAACCAATAACAAGAGAGAATCAGTTATTTGCTTCCTCCTGCACGCCCCCTACTGGGGAACGAGCCCACAACCCGGGCCTGTGCCCTGACCGGGAATCGAACCCTGACCTCCTGGTTCCTAGGTCAGTGCTCAACCACTGAGCCACACCGGCCCGGCTGCAGTCATTTTTTTGGGGAGGCTCATCTGTGTCCGTTTTGTGCTGAGCATTGGTGACATGTCATGAGTGGGTGCCCCCGCCTGCCACCCCTCGGAGGGGGACCTGAGGAAGCTGGCTGTCCTGCTTCGTCCACCTGTCCCTGTCACCCCGTCCTCGGCACATCCTTTCTCCGTCCCAAGGCGTCCAGCTCCCCCAAGGGGCTCTCTCTCCTCCCGTGACTCCCCTCCGCAGGCGACTACACGGACTTCTACTCCTCGCGGCAGCACGCCTCGAACGTCGGGATCATGTTCCGCGGCAAGGACAACGCCCTGATGCCCAACTGGTAGGTCCCTGGCCGAAGCGTGACGGGCTCCGCGTCTGTCTGTCTGTCCTCCCGCTCCCAGCGGCACGCGGTCCCGGGAGCTGCCGGGTCCCCCAGGGGTCCGAAAACCAGCGGAAGGAAAAACCGACCCTGATGACGCTCACGGCTCAGCCCTTCTGGAGACAGTGGTCTCCAGAGAAGCCCCGCCCTGGACCCCCCGTGGGACCCGGGAGCAGTCCCTTCGTCTCTTATTTTTTATTTTTTTATTTTTTTTAATATATTTTGTTGATTTTTTTTACAGAGAGGGAGAGAGAGTTAGAAACATCAATGAGAGAGAATCATCGATCGGCTGCTTCTTGCACACCCCCCACTGGGGATGTGCCTGCAACCAAGGTACATGCCCCTGACCGGAATCGAACCCGGGACCTTTCAGTCCACAGGCCGACGCTCTATCTACTGAGCCACACTGGTTTCAGCTTCATCTCTTATTTTTGTTGGTTTGTTTTGTTCATTCTCACCCGACCCCCACTAGGGGGCATGCAGGAGGCTACCAATCAGTGACTCTCGCCAAAACCGGTGTGGCGCAGTGGATAGAGCGTCAGCCTGCGGACTGGAATGTCCCAGGTTCGATTCCGGTCAAGGGCATGGACCTTGGTTGCGGGCACATCCCCAGTGGGGAGTGTGCAGGAGGCAGCTGGTCGATGACTCTCTCATCGATATTTCTCTCTATCCCTCTCCCTTCCTCTCTGTACAAAAATCAATAAAATATTTATTTTTAAAAATCACCCGAAACTGGTTTGGCTCAGTGGTAGAGCATCGGTCTGCGGACTGAAAGGTCCCAGGTTCAATTCCGGTCAGGGGCATGTACGTTGGTTGTGGGCACATCCCCGGTGGGGGCTGTGCAAGAGGCAGCTGGTCGATGTTTCTCTCTCATCGACGTTTCTAGCTCTCTATATCTCTCTCTTCCTCTCTGTAAAGAAATCAATAAAATATATATTTTTAAAATCAATAAAATATATATTTTTTTAAAAATCAGTGACTCTCATCATCCATGTTTCTTTCTCTCTGCCTCTCCTTTCCTTTCTGAAAGCAACAAAAATATCTACACTAGCCGAAGCCGGTTTGGCTCAGTGGATAGAGCATCGGTCTGCTGACTGAAAGGTCCCAGGTCCGATTCCAGTCAAGGGCATGGACCTTGGTTGCGGGCACATCCCCAGCAGGGGGTGTGCAAGAGGCAGCTGGTCGATGTTTCTCTCTCATCGACGTTTCTAGCTCTCTGTCCCTCTCCCTTCCTCTCTGTAAAAAATCAATAAAATAAAAAAAAAAAATACAAGAGTACCATGCTAATTGACCGTACCTTCGCCACGCTCACCAGCCAATCAGGAGTGAGCATGCAAATTAACCCAAGAAAGATGCTGGGTTAATTTGCATATGCAGGCACCCCGCCCCAGCTGCTCGGGGCCTCTGCGCAGCTTGGGCAGGCGGAAAGGCTGCTCCGGCCGGAGCGAAGGCGGCGCCGGCAGCCAGGGGAGGGAAGGCCCATTCCTGCATAGATCTCCATGCATCGGGCCTCTGGTATTTAAAAAAAAAAAATTTGCCGAAACCGGTTTGGCTCAATGGGTAGAGCGTCGGCTTGGGGACTGAAAGGTCCCGGGTTCGATTCTGGTCAAGGGCATGTACCTTGGTTGCAGGCACATCCCCCACATGGGGCGTGCAAGAGGCAGCTGATTGATGATTCTCTCTCATCGATGTTTCTAACTCTCTATCTCTCTCTCTTCCTCTCTGTACAAAATCAATAAAATATATTTAAAAAAAAAAATGTTCTGTCACACGTGACGGCACCCACACCTGCACCCTTTGCCTTCGTCCGCCAGGCTGCACCTACCCGTGGGGTACCACGGCCGCGCCTCCTCCATCGTGGTGTCGGGCACGCCGATCCGCAGGCCCGTGGGACAGATGAGGCCGGATGACTGTGAGTGCCCCGCCCGCCCGCCCGCCCGCGCGTCCCCGTGTCCCCCGCGCGTGCTCCCGGGCCCGGCCCTCACGGCAGCCCCTGTCCCCGTGTGGTTGCAGCCAAGCCTCCCGTGTTCGGCCCCAGCAAACTGTTGGACATCGAGCTGGAAATGGTGAGCGTGCGCGGGGTCTCGGCGTCGGTCTCAGGGTGGCGTCGGCACGGGCTCTCCGTAACCGCGGTGGCAGGCCCGGCCAGTGTGGCTCAGTGGTCGGAGCGTCGGCGCCAGCACCGAAGGGTTTAGGGTTCAGTCCCAGGTCCAAGGGCGCGCACATACCTGGGCTGCTGGTTCGATCCCCAGCCCAGGTCGGGGCACATGCAGGAGGCAACCAGTCGATGTGTCTCTCTCACATCAATGTTTCTCTCTCTCTCTCTCTCTCTCTCTCTCTCTCTCTCTCTCTCTCTCTCTCTCTCTCTCTCTCCCTGCCCCCTGCCTTCCGCCTTCCCGCTCTCCCTAAAAATCAATGGAGAAAATACCCTGGGGTGAGGAGTAACAAAACAAAAAATGCGATGACCGGATGTCAGATGACAGGGCCTGGCCCAGGCGGGGTGTGTGTGTGTGTGTGTGTGTGTGTGTGCGCGTGTGCGCGCAGACCGGCTCAGGAAGGGACTTTTCTTTTTTTTATTAATTTTATTTTTTTAAAATATATTTTTTATTCATTTCAGAGAGAAAGGGAGAGGGAAAGAGAGAGAGAGAGATGGAAACGTCAATGATGAGAGAGAATCATGAATTGCCTGCCTCCCCCCCTCCCCCCACATTGGGGATCAAGCCCGCAACCCGGGCATGTGCCCTGACCGGGAATCAAACCCAGGGCCTTTCAGTCCTCAGGACGATGCTCTATCCACTGAGCCACACCAGCCAGGGCTAATTTTTATTTTTAAATTAATGTTGTTAAGTGTTGTTCATTCTCCCCCGAGGATATTTTCCCATTGATATTTTAGAGAGAGTGGAAGGGAGAGGGAGAGGGAGAGACAGAGGGAAACATTGATGTGAGAGACACACATCGATGGGTTGCCTCCTGCATGCACCCCAACCAAGGCCCGGGCCGGGGAGGGGCCTGCACGCAAGTACGTGCCCTTGACCCGAATTGAACCGGGGACCCTTCGGTCTGCAGGCCGACGCTCTATCCACTGAGCCACACTGGCCAGGGCACGGTGGGACTTTTCATAGCAACGCCCATGGTTTAGGTGAGGCCTGGGGAAGCTCTGGTGTCCACTCTCGGCAGGTGGAGGAGAAGGGCTGTGGCTGCGGAAGTCAAGGTCGGCTGCAGGCAGCAGGAGCTCCCGGTCTGTCCTGTCCTGCCCGCTGGTCTCTTCCGACTCCATCCAGACAAGGAAATGTGTGGGCACCGCCCAGGGGGGTCCCCCAGGCCCTGCAAGGCCCTCTCCTGCTGCCCTAGCCACGTGGACCCCAGAGCAGGTCTCCCAGCCCAGCCCCACCGAGCCCAGGGTGGGGGCGGGCCTTCGCCTGCGTGGGCCCCGCCCAGTGCAGAGACTGGCGGGGGAGGGCAGGGCCCCGGTCCTGGCGGCTGGCGGTAAGATCCGGTGTCAGCCGGTGCCCTGGGTTTGTTAAAAGTCCGCAGTGTGTCAACACTCATCAGTGCAAATAGGACTTGTTTGCTTTTGCCAATGTCATCGCTGACTCTGCTGTTGACAGTCACCGTCCCAGTTTGCCCCCAGGGACCACTGGGTGTCTGCTGGATCCTGGGCCTTGTGTTGGGATGTTTTTCTCTCCAAGGCAGTGGGTGATGGGCTGGGGGGGGGGGGGGGGAGGTATGCCCTATCAGGCTCTTGGCTGCATTTTAAAAATATATATATTTTATTGATTTTTTACAGAGAGGAAGGGAGAGGGATAGAGAGCTAGAAACATCGATGAGAGAGAAACATCGATCAGCTGCCTCCTGCACACCCTCCACTGGGGATGTGCCCGCAACCAAGGCACATGCCCTTGACTGGAATCGAACCCGGGACCCTTCAGTTCATAGGCTGACGCTCTATCCACTGTGCCACACCAGCTAGGGTTTGGCTGCATTTTGGAGGCAACCTTTTGATTTTGCATGAATAACCATTTTTCTTTCCCCCCTTTTTTTTTCGTGTGAATCCTCACCTGAGGATATTTTTTCCATTTATTTTTATTTTTATTTTTTAAAATATATTTTATTGTTTTTTTTATTTTATTTTATTTTTTTTTTTACAGAGAGAAAGGGAGAGGGATAGAGAGCTAGAAACATTGATGAGAGAGAAACATAGACTAGCTGCCTCCTGCACACCCCCTACTGGGGATGTGCCCGCAACCAATGTACATGCCCTTGACCGGAATTGAACCCGGGACCTTTCAGTCTGCAGACCGACGCTCTATCCACTGATCCAAACCAGTTTCGGCTCCATTGATTTTTAAAATATATATATATTTTTATTGATGTCAGAGAGGAAGGGAGGAGAGATAGAAACATCCATGATGGGAGAGAATCACGGATCAGCTGCCTCCTGCACGCCCCCTACTGGGGATCGAGCCCGCCACCTGGGCATGTGGGGCAGGGGAAGAGACAGAGAGAAACATCGATGTGAGAGGCACACGCCCCCAGCACATGTCTGACCAGGACTGGGGATCGAGCCTGCAGCCCAGATACGTGCCTTTGACTGGAATCGAACCCCAGACCCTTCAGCCCGCAGGCCGACGCTCTATCCACTGAGCCACACCTGCCGGGGCTGATTCCCTCCACTCCCATCAGCCTCATGTAACCGCCGGGTGCTGGCATGCAGAGCCGTGAGGGGCGGCAGGGCAGGAGCCAGGCGCTGTTGTGCTTGGCATTCAGGGCTGATCAGAAGGGTCATGGGCTGCAGTGCCCAGCTTCCCGAGGCGGCCATGGGTCCCCCCAGGA